CTTGCTTAAACAGACAACATATCCAAATGTGCTGTGGTTTGGTTGAAGAAAGGTGGTTTTCTGTGTTCCATGTGCTCATCCTTCAAGTTCATGGCCATCACCACCTGAGAGTGCTTAGTGCTCAGGATAACTGAAAGGGAGCATAAATCCTGCTTACTTTGAACACAGCCCAGGGTTCATCGTATCTTTCTGTGCTGGCCAACGTTAATCAGCTCTTCCCTCTCTCCACCCTCTTGTGTCTGTAAATCAAGAGCCCCCAGTATTAGTCACCACAGAAGAAGTAATTAGTAAGTGTAAGCCACTACTTTCATCCATCATTCTGTGCCTTAGATTCAGGCCAAGCCAAGATGATGGAGAAAGCTGACCTTACAAAAGGATGAGTCCTTATGCGGATTTTGTCAAAGCTTAAGATGTTAATAATGCACCCTCCCCAACTATCTTAACTTACAGCTAGGATATGGCGCCAATGGCAAGTCTTTATTTATTGTATGAAGATTTCCTTTCCTGCACTCAAAAAATATGTCTTTAGAGCCCCAAGAATCTGAAGTAGCAACGGTCTCCTAATGGTTTAATCTTGGAATTCGATACTTCAGATACTTTACCCTCTTCATTGCTCTGAGGCAGCAAAATGAGAGGCTACTTTCTCATTGAGTCATGCTCTAGCCCCCCACCCCTAGACCCACACAAGAAAATCATGGTTTATGCCTTTGCCAGTCACCTGTGTACTTGGGAAATTTGTTTCCTGCTCTGGCCAAGCACATGGTCAAGGGCAGTGCTGCCCCCTAAAGAGACACTATTTGCAGATCCAGAGTCTGTGAACTTCCTCTTTGTGCATTGCTGACCAAATGTTATTGGCATACATCAATGTGTTCCACTCACTGATTACGGCTTTGGAGCTCTCAAATGCACACTGGCTCCAACTTTTTTCCATCACACAATATTTCTTCCAATTTTTAAATTTCCCCTATTAACCACTTTACTCTTTTTTTTTTTTTGGTCTTTTTGAGAAAGTTTCCCTGTAGCCCAAGCTGTCCTGGAACTCACTATGTAGACCAGGCTGGCCTTGAACTCATAGAGATCTTGCCTGCCTCTGCCATTCAGTGCTGGGACTAAAGGCACACTCCACCACACTGGTTCTTTTTTTTTTTTTTGAGACAGGTTCTCACTATTAGTCATGGCTGACCTGGAGCTCTCTATGTAGACCAGGCTAGCCTCTAAACCCTGGTTCACTTTTTAAGCAGAATAATTCCAAGCCAGAGTAGCATTGGATCCCTTGGAACTGGAATTACAAATGGTTGTTAACCATCATGTGGGTACTAAGAACCAAACCTGGGCCCTTTACAAGAGCATCCAGTGCTCTTAACTGCTGAGCCATCTCTCCAGCCCCTAAGGCATTTTCTTAAAGATCTATTTTATTTTTAAATTCTGTATATGTGTGTATGTGTCTGTGTGTGGATATGTGCACATGAGTGAAGGTACCTAAGGAAGGTACCAGAAGAGTCAGATCCACCTAGAGCTGGAGTTACAGGTGGTTGTGAGCCACTTAATATAAGTATTGGGAACCAAACTCGTGTCTTCTGCAAGAGCATGCTGAGCCATCTCTCCAGCTCCAAAAGAAAGCATTTTCACATGAGCAAATACATCATTTGCTTATTCCCCTGGAATAAAATAATAACAATGTAGACCTTCTAAGGATGAATATTTGCTTCATTGATACCAAATTTGTACCCTCCACTTTGTTTTTGAGACTTTCTGTATATCCAGTAACTTTTCATTTCAATGCTGAATCATAATGCACACTTTTCTAAGACATTTACAAGACAATAAAACTCAGTGGTTTATTGACAAGCATGAGCTTGACACAGTGGGAGGGCGAGGGTATCAGCCACACTCCAGCAGTGGCACCAGTCGCATGACTGCTATTTGGCATCAGACACTGTTCAGCATCCTCAGTCACAGTGAATCCTGATTGCGAGGATGGGAAAGTATGAGAAATTAGCACCTCAGAATGAATGAATTCTAGGAATAGCTTCAATTTACTGAGCATTTACTATATATCATGGTACTAAACTCTTGGCAAAACTTTATACCAAGAAATATGTGTAGGACAAATTTTAGCCAGACCAATCTAATTACCTTAGACCCTCCAGTAGCTGCATGCAGGGTAAGGATTCTGATTGGGATACTGGGATCCCTCTGTGCATCTGCAAGCAGTATAAAGCACGTCCATGGTAGACTCACGTTAAATTCTGTTTCCTTTCAAGAACATGAAGCATCACTCCAAATAAGATTGCAAATGTTTACTCAGTTGGCGATGGTAGTGCACACCTATAATCCCAGACTGAGACCGGAAGATTGTAAGTTCTAGGCCAGCCTTGGTTACATGTCAAGACCCTGTTTCAGAAAACGTAAATAAATTAAATGTCCATTTGAAGTACTTCAGTCAGGACTGGAGAGATGACTCAGTGGTTAAGAGCATTTACTGCTCTTCCAAAGGACCTGGGTTCAGTTCCCAGCACTCACATGACTGCTAACAACTGTCAATAACTCCAGTTTCAGGGGATCCAACACCTTCTTCTGGCCTCCTTGGGCATTGTACAACACAGGTACACTTATATAAATATTAAATAAAAAGAAATGCACATTAAATAAAAAGAAATAAAATTTTTAAAAATAATAAGGGGCTGGAGAGATGGCTCAGTGGTTAAGAGCACTGGCTGCTCTTGCAGAGGACCCAGATTTGATTCCCGGCATCCACGTGGTGGCTAACAGCTGTAACTCCAGTTCCAAGGGGCTCCAGTGCCCTCTTCTGACTTCCATGAGCATTGCATGACACAGATGCAGATACATACATGTGGATACATACATGTGGGCAATACACTCATACACATAAAATAAAATAAACTACCTTATTAGGTAGTTCAGTTATAGCATACCTGCAGTGCTCTTTGCAGCTGACCAAGTAAATATCCTTGTTATAATTTTTAATTGAATTTTACAAGTTTCATATAATATACTTTGATCATATTTAGACCCCCCTCCCCTACTTGCACCCCTCTTATGGCTCTCCCACGGGTTTTCATGTACCCTATCATATATATTAAGACTTATTGAGCCAAGTTTGTGTTCTCAAATGTCCTTAAGTGTGCATCCATCCACTGGAGCCTGGTTAACCTATCTAGCATCACACCCTTAAAGAAAACCAAGTCTCCCTCTCCCCGTAGTTATTGGTTTCCAATAGTTCCTCAACTCAGGTTGGGGCTTCTTACCCACTTCTCCACTTGTATGCTGGGATTTTATCTGGTTTGAACTTGTGTCATGTGCATACTGTTACCATTGCTGTAAGCTCACATGAGTAACTTCTTAGCTGTCTGGAAAACTTTCCTTGGGGTCATCCACCACCTCTGGCTCTTACAATCTTTCTGCCCCCTCTTCTGCAGTGATACCTGAGCCTTGCATGGCAATGATTTGATATAGGTGTCCTCTTCAGGGATAAGTTCTCTGCAGCCTCTTTTTCACTATACTTTGGCTAGTTGTAGTTTTCTGGGTTAATCACCATCTGTAGCATGAGGAAACTTCCCTAGTAAGAGTTGAGAGATACATTAGTATTCTCTCTACCCCCTGTTCCACTATGTTCCTTGAGCCTTAGGTGTAGAGGTTCCATATGTCACTTAGAGCTGGGCACCTCACAGATGCTTATTCTCTGCATTTGACCAGTTGTAGTACTTCATAATGATCTCCATCTGTTGGCAAAAAGAAGTTTTTTTAATAACTAGTGAGAGGTAGGTACACTTGTCAGGTTAGTCAGGAGCTCTCTGGCAACATGTATCTTATAAAAAAAATTTTTAAAGAGGGCCATTGAGATATTGAGATAGCTCAGTGGGTAAAGGCACTTGCTACCAAGCCTGAAGATCTGAGTTTGATTCCTGGAACCCATATTGTAGAAAGAGAGAACTAACTCCCACAAGCTGTCCTCTGACACACACTCCTACACACACACTCCTACACACACACACACACACACACACACACACACACACACACACACACAGGGTCGTACGGGTTTTGTGTAATAGACTGATAAGAATACCTTCATTAGCACATCCATGCAATTGGGAACTCAGAGAGGTTCCTGAGTATGATTTCTATTGGAACCACAGCTCAGTCAGCTGGCTGCCCTTTACCAAGAGTGCAATGAAATAGTCTAAATCATCACCATTTCCTGACCACGGTCTTTGCCAATGAACTGGAATGATCTGTTTGGTGACAATGAAATGTGTTTGTGGAGAAGTATGGGTCTAGATGGGCTTGGACATTAGTTTTCTGAGTCAAGGGCGTGCCCCATGCCTGTTACATCCATGACTGGCCTACTCACAATTTGTTTTTTGGTGAAAGGAATCAGTAAAATGAATGGAAACAAGCGGATAGAAAAGATTTTTTGTTTGTTTCTTCGTTTGGGAACCCCTGGTCCTGGCCCTTCTGAAGAGCAAGGGAGGTTGTGTCAGATCAGCCCCCAGAGAATAACCGTGCTGAGCAAACCCTAGTGGCTTTGTGGGGAGGACAGTTCTGTTTCCATGGTTACTTAAATATGGGATTGGGCAGGGCCTCGTATTTATGTATTTATATTCAGTGCTATGGGAGCGAACCCAAAAGCTCAGAGTGAGGATATGATTAAGAGCTTTCACAGTCAAAATAAACACCAGTAAGAAGGAATTTCCAAGTCTGAACAGATACTACCTGAGCCCCAATCAGGTAGACACCATAACTTTCCTAGCTTTGACTCCCCACAGTTCAGCAGCCAATGTGGAGATATGTTAGGAGAATGTAATAAGCATTTTTCAAATTGCTTTCTCAAGTCATTTATTTGGTTGGCAAGCAATATATTGACTTCTTATATGTGAAAGTAAGAAGGATACAGGAATAGGCATATGTATTTGGGAGTCCTAACTGAGTAAGTAGACGCCAGAGCCTTTCTAACTGCCCCTCTGGGTTTGTTCCAGCTGTAAAGGAGCCTCTCACTATGGCCTGACCAAGGACAGGAAGAGGCGCTCACAAGATGCCTGCCCCGATGGCTGTGCCAGCCTTACAGCAATGACACTCTCCCCTGAGCTTTCTGCAGCTGCCACCATCTCCTTAATGACTGACGAGCCTGGCCTGGACAACCCTGCCTACATGTCCACAGTGGAGGATGCTCAGTCAGCAAACAGCTCCTCGGACTCTGGCCGGAGCAACCGAACTAGAGGTGAGTCAGATGGCTGGGTGTCTGAGAATGGACTCGACTTTTTTTGAGTTTGCCCTCTGTGGAATACGTTCCATGGAAAGTTCTAGAAATACCTTTTTAAGGGGAAATTGTTCTGATAGTTTTGGCAGCCACTCAATGTCCAATCCTCCAAAGTAGATGCCTCAGATCATTAAGACAGTGCAATCTGACTTGGTGTGAGAGTCTGAAGAGAGGTCTGATGACTTAGCACTCTTAGTGCTGGAATATCCCTCCCTGCTCTAGGACACTGTTGTTATAATCACTCTCACCCAAGGGAGGGAAAAAAACAGATTTCAAACAAACTAGATATGCATTTCATTATAGCAAATTTAGAAACACGGGTAAGTAAATTCTACACCCCTCTCACCAAGAGGCAATCCCTTTTAATAAGCTGTGTACACAAGAGTTCCCTTCTTTTTTGTTACTTTTGTTTTGGGGGTTTTGGGGTCTTTTAAATTTTTTTTTATTTTTGAGGCAAAGTGCCACTATGTAGCCTAGGCTGGATTTGAACTCAGGATCTTACTGCCTCAGCCTTTTGAGTGCTGGAATTTCAGGCATGTACCATCACACCTGAATGAAAGATGATTCTGTTAAGCTGTAACTCCTGTTCCTGTTGGATCTTCTTTCCCTCAGCACGACCCTTTGAGCGATCCACTATCAGAAGCCGATCTTTCAAAAAGATTAACCGAGCTTTGAGTGTTCTTCGAAGGACGAAGAGTGGGAGTGCCGTTGCCAACCATGCTGAGCAGGGCGGGGAAAACTCTGAAAATACCACTGCTCCTGAAGGTAAATGGAGCCGCCATCCCCAGGCTGGCCACGGGCTGGGCTTCCAGAGTCAGCTCAGGGATGATGACAGCTTGCCCACCACCCACCCTTTGTGACCCTTCTCTTTCCAAGGTTATGACATTTTTGCCTTGATTAGCCTCCTCACGTAAATGATTAATGGCTTGTCTTCTTTGTCCCCACTTTTACATAGGTGAGCAAAAATGTATCTGCCCCTTTTAAAACAGTTCTTTAATACATCATAGTCTTTAAAACTCATAGACACCATGAGTTTTGTATAAACTTATGGACAGCATGTTTGTTCCTTTGTCTTATTGTTTTAAGTATTTGCATTTACCTAGTGTGTGTGTGTGTGTGTGTGTGTGTGTGTGTGTGTGTGTGTGTGTGTGTGTGTGCCGTAGTGTATATATGGAGGTCAAAGGATAGTGTGTGAGGGTTGGTGCTTTCCTTCCACCTGGTGGGTCCTGGGGATTGAACTCAGGTTGCCAGACTTGGACACAAGTACCTTAAGACACTAAATCATCTCGACAGCCTTGAAAAGCATTTTAAACAGATCCTAGCACATAGTGGTAAAGTACTTGTTCTTATTTCAGCTACACATGAGCCGTTGTTCTGGGTGTTTTACCTGATTTTCCTCAGTTAATCCTCACAAGAACCCTATGTCCAGGGCAAATTTCTAGGATCTCATTGGTTTGGCTCTAATGAACATTAACTATGGTTAACTCTGTTTCAGTTTCCTCTTCTGCAAACAGGGTTAATCAAGAGGAAACATAGAGGTTGCCTAGCTTGTTTCAAATGATCTTGTTTTACTCTGACTGCAGAGAACTGAGCACTGGGAATCCATGGAAAGAAGACTATTGGGTCTTAGATCCTATTTGTTTTTCATTTTCCCAATGTAAATGGGGAAATACTGTCTTATTCCTGTCTTTTTATTTCATATTGAAACTTTTTAATTTAGTTATTTTTGCTTTCTGAGTTTTGCTTTGTAGCCCTGGCTGGCCTGGAACTCACTATACAGACCAGGCTTACAGCTATCTTCTACCTCTGCCTCCCTAGAGCTGGGGTTACAGGTGTGCACCACCACACCTGGCTTATATTAGAACTTCAGAGTAGAAATAATAACTTTTTAAAAAGTATTCATTATTTTTATTTTATATGTACAAGTATTTTACCTATATGTATGTAAGTGTACAAAGTACGTGTGAACCCACAGAGGCCAAAAGAGAGCATCAGATCCCCTGGAATTGGAGTTAAGGATAGTTATGAGCTGCCATGTGGATGTTGGGAACCACCCCAGGTCTTTTGCAAGAGCAGCCAGTGGTCTTAACCACTGAGCCATCTCTCCAGTCCCGAGAAATATTAACTTTTAAAATAAAACAGCTCTTCCTGTACCAGCTAGTGTTCTAAGTCATGTCTATGTCACAAAAATAGGGGCTAAGGATTATCATTCTGTTTGTTCCTTGATAAGCAAGTGATGAAACACAGGTCATTCCCTGAAGACATCTGTTCACTTGTTCATTTCTATTCAGTCAGTAAACATCAGCCAAAGGCTCCCACATGCAGAGATCTGTGCACAGAACCATGGAGCAGCCAGAAATCACAGCCCATGCAAAGTAATTAAAGTAGTTCAAACATTAAATGAACGCAGTCACCCAAGAGCTGTTAGCATCAAGAACAGCCAGATTAAAACAGCTACATGCAGCCTGATAGTGAAGCAGTTGCTGGGTTCTCAGTTCTAGAGTTCAGTGGGTGACAGGAGAAATTGGCACTGACAACAATGGAGGGTTAAATGCTGAGAGAAAGAGTCAGCCTTATAGGAATGGTGCCTTTAGGGAGAGCAAGGGAAAGAGGGATCCCAGTAGAGTTTAATTGGAAGAGATCATTCCACGTAGGCTTTGAAGGAAAAATTGGGCTTAAACCCAGGATGAAAAACATTCCAGTAGAGAAATTTACGCTGGCACCAAGGCGGGAAAGTGGAAAGCACACACAAGGACTAACAAACGTTTAGTTTGGCAAGAAGAATGGTTGGAAATGCCCATTGGGTGGGTATCTGAAATAAATGCTGTCTTTGTCAATTTCAGTCTTTCCAAGGTTATATCACCTGATTCCAGATGGTGAAATTACAAGCATCAAAATCAATCGAGTGGATCCCAATGAAAGTCTCTCCATTAGGCTTGTGGGAGGCAGTGAAACCCCACTGGTCCACATCATCATCCAACATGTTTATCGTGATGGAGTGATTGCTAGAGATGGCCGGCTGCTGCCAGGGGACATTATTCTCAAGGTAGAGACTATAGCTGTGGGCAGTGATTAGGCATGTAATATAAAACCATAAGAGTAAAAAATGAATGGATGGGTGGATGGGTGAAGTCCTTCAAAACAAATAATGGGTGGGTGGGTGGGTGGATGGATGAATGGATGGGTGGGGTTCTAGTTTGCCTTCAATTGGTGTGACAAAACACTCTGACCAAGACTAACTTGGAGATGAAAGGGTTTATTTGACTTACATCTTCAGTGAGTCATCACTGAAGGAGCCCAAGGTAGGAGCTCGGGGCAGGAACTTAGAGGCAGGAGCTGAAGCACAGGCCAACGCTGCTTATGGCCTTGCTCCTCTGGCCCCCACTCAGCCTACTTTCTTATACAACACAGACCTACCTGCCCAGGGGTGACACTGCCCACAGTGGGCTGGGCCCTGCCACATCACTCAGTAATCAAGAAAATGCCCCACAGACATGGCCATAGGCCAGTCCAATGGAGTCAGTACCCCAACTGAGGCTCCCTCTACTCAAGTGTGCCAAGTTGACAACTAAAGCTATCCAGCACAGATGGGATGGTGGATGAATGGGTAAGTAGGTGACAGATGGATGGATGGACAGACAGATGGATGAATGGATAATAAACATAGACACTGGCTTTCTATAGTTATATGGTTACAACTCTTCATATGAGAATCTGTCATTTAACTGAGATAAGTCTTTTGTTCTTTCTCTCTGTTTATAAACAGTTCTCTTTGTTACACACCATTTGGTCTGTCTCCTGATTTTTTTTATTTTGCTTCATTTTCCCCCTTTTCTCTCTCCACTTTTTTTCTTTCTCTTCTTGATCCCTCTTTTATCTCTCCTTTTAAATGAAACATTAGTGTAAAATAAGACTGGAGTATATATTTTATTAAATTATAAAGCAGATTAATGGAACATTTTCTATTTTCTCTAATTGCATTCACATACCTTCTACAGAAAATTTCCTGTGGTTTAGTGGCAATCTCTAATCTAGTCTCACAGAGGCATTCCAGAAGAGAAAGGAATGGAATGAGCTGTTGGGCATACTGTCCTCTAAGACTTGTTTGAAAGAAGAGACTTTAAGGAGGAATTTTCAGGAGGAAAAGGATGACAGAAGAGCTGTTTATCAGACAGAAGTCAAATGTGTATCAAAGTGACACAAGTGCTCCCCCCGACCCCCCATTCATCTATTTCCTATCTGAGACTCAGATAACAGTTTCATCCCACCCCTGGCAAGCAGCTGAAGGATAACTCCTGTCCCAGCATGAGTTGTTTGTTTGGAAAACTAATTAGAATAAGGGAAGAAATCTTTGGAACCAGTTACTGTAAAAATGTTGACATTACCACTGGTCTCTGAGGTATACAGGCAAAAATCCATCATCCACATGGCCATAAGCAGTGCGAGCCTCATGGTGCAAGGATTCCTCCCAGCTCCAGTGGAGACTAGAGTCTGCAAGTGTGGCATAATAAACAATGTGACTCCTTGGCCCTCAGCTTGCAGGCATTTGCAGGCAAAAAGACTACCAGGATCGGTTAGCAGGGGACCCTATGTCACTTGGCCTGGGAATGATGAAGGGAACAGGCCTTGCCACCTCCCACCATGTTTGGGAAAGGGTAGTACCCTATGTTTGCCCAGGGAGCCCCAGACGTCTCTGGAGGTGCAGCAGGACCAGTGGTTATACCTCAAACACATCCCTTTTGAAGCTCATTCCAGAAGGAGCTTCTAACAATTGGCTTCAAGTACAAGAAATCATACCAAACTCTAGAAATTTAAGAAGGTCATTGCTCTACTGTGAGGCCCCTTCCTCAACCAGAGTGAAGGGCTGCTGGAAACTGTTTTTTTTTTTTTTTTTGCAGCCTCCAGGCTGGGCCTGTGGAGCCAGAGTAATTAAAACCAGAAGGCCAGATGCAGCACCAGCCCTGTGGATTATTAGTGAGGCCCAAATAAGAGGCCCAACTTTAGGATATTTAAGTACTATGAAGTGGTCCAGCCTTTCAGCAAAATAGCCTAGAAACATCCTTTTGCATTAGTTTGTTTGAAACTGTAAATGGTCCTCCCACTCCCCGTTTCTTTAGAACACAAGCAAGGACTTTGCAGACAACCACCTTGATACCTTATATTCATATATACGCTCCATCACCTTCACACCTGCAAATGCATATGCGTGTGTGCACATGCACACACACACATTCAGGCCTACTCACACAAATACTCTGATGTACAAATACTCATGCTCACACATTTAGGCACATGTTCTCTCCCCCACTACACACACATGCACACACACACACACTCGGGCCCACTCAGATACTCTGACATACAAACACTAACGTGCACACATTTAAGCACATGTTCTCTCTCTCTCTCTCCCCTCTCCAGAGAGAGAGAGAGAGAGAGAGAGAGAGAGACTGCAAGTTCTAGTATGAGTGACCAAGTAAGAAAGAATTAGTTGAAGATTTTCGAAAATGTCAACTTATTTTGATTCAGACAGCCATTGACTCTAATCATCTGGGACTAGGGAGGTAATCCAGTGGCAGAGCCCGTGCTTAGCATGCACTACACTGTAATAATGTAGCTGTCTGACTGAGCAGAATGGAGAAATGCCTTTTCTTCTTTTGAGTTTTCCAGCTTTTTTTCCTTTCCTCTTATCAACTGAAAAACAAAATTGACAGGCAACAGATGTGAGGGTCAGGATTCTGCAAATAGACGCATGGGTCTGTGTAAGGACAGGGTTGAAGGAAGGTGGTACCTAGTTATAGAGGCTGGAAAATTACTGTTGGACACAGGATAAAAGAAGATAGTGGAGCAGGTTAGGGGACCGCATCCTAGTTACTCTGTGGGCCTGGACTTTTATTCATTTGATTTTTGTGGTGCTGGGAATAGAACCCAGTGCCCTCTGCATACTGGCCTGGGCCTTTTCAGAAGGCTTATGGCAGGTACACTCACTGCCCAATGGCTCCACTCCTTCAGGTCAATGGGATGGACATCAGCAACGTCCCTCACAACTATGCTCTGCACCTCCTGCGCCAGCCCTGCCAGGTGCTGCGCCTCACTGTGCTGCGGGAACAGAAGTTCCGGAGCAGGAACAATGGACAGGCACTGGACTCCTATGGACCCCGGGATGACAGCTTCCACGTGATTCTTAACAAAAGCAGCCCTGAGGAGCAGCTTGGCATAAAGCTAGTGCGCAGGGTGGACGAACCTGGGGTGTTCATCTTCAATGTGCTCAATGGCGGTGTGGCTGACAGACATGGCCAGCTGGAGGAGAATGATCGCGTGTTGGCCATCAATGGACATGACCTTCGATACGGCAGTCCAGAAACCGCAGCTCAACTGATTCAGGTGAGTTAAGAGTCATGCTAAGATCCCAGTTAGAAACCCCCACATGAGCAGGGACTCTGCTGTGCCATTCAGGAACTGAGAAAGGGCTGCCTAGCATTTTCAAAGCTGCTGGCCAGCTAAGGAACTTCATTGATTGTCTTACTTAAAATAATGTGTATACACACATACCACACACAAACGCATATTTATGTCCTCTAATCTTCTTTGTTTTCTACCAACTATTTTATGATTACCCACCAAGGCAGAAAAGTACAATATAGTGAATATTGTATTCCAAGCACTCAGAGCATTGTCCAGCAAGAGTAGACACTCGGTAATAAATATTTATTATTTATACATTTTTATTGAATTTTTGTGTATTTCATGTAGATCGTCTTAATCATCTTATACTCCTATCCCCATTGGCACCCTCCCATAGCCCCCAACCCCTGGAATTCATGTATTCTGTCATTGTGTTAAGCCCTATCATGTCAAGTTAGTGTCCCCAGACATTTCTCAGTGCAAGTTCATCCACTAAGGTCGAGTCAGCCTATGTAGAGTCCCTCCTTTTAAGATCAGCTCTTCCTCACCCAGAAGTAATCAGTTGACAATAGTTCTTCAGCTAAGATTGGGGCCTGCTGCCCATTTCTACAGTTTGGTGCTGGGGTTTGTCTGCTTGAATTTTCATGGGTCTTCTGCATGCTGACACCATTGTTTTAGGTTCATATGAGTAAGGTCCCATATGACCATATGAGTAAAAATACATTCAAGCATTTTTAAAGTTATTTTTTTCCTCCACGAAGAACCATTATCCTTAGCATAAATTTTTTTTTCTGCCTTTAAAAATTAGAGTTAAGGGCTGGAGAGATTGCTCCGTGGTTAAGAGCTCTGGCTACTCTTGCAGAGGACCTGGGTTCCCCATCACCCACATGGCAGCTGACAACCATCTGTAACTCCAGTTCCAGGGGATCCAGTGCCCTCTTCTGACCTCTGGACAAGGATGTACTTACACACATGCAGGCAATACAGTCACACACATAAAATGAAAATAATAAATAAAATATTTTAAAAATTAGACTTCAGGGATTGTCAGTGCTTTTCATGCTACACTTGTTAGAGCCCTCTGCAGGTCAACCAATGAAACTCACATTCTGGGCATCTGCCAATTGTACTTTAGAATAGGCAAAAGAAAAACGCTTACTCATGTTATTTGGAAAAATCTTGATTACATATGGCATTTTACTTTTGAAGATTAATAACAGAAGAACATATTTTCTCTGAGAAAGTAAATTTATGAAATAAAATCTTGCCTAACAGTGGGAATTCCTGAACAGTCGTTTTGCTTACTAAACAAAGCCAATATGCTTTATAAGCAGGAAAAACCACTTTTTTTATTTCCATAAAAGCTAGGGCAAAGCTAGTTGGAAAAGAAAATTTTAAAACTAGATACTGGAAAAATTCAGCTACGCAAGCTGTTTCTGAAAAGTGGATTTTATTTATGTGATACTTGTAACACACCCCAGGCTGGAGGGATTAAACTAAATACCCTTCAAAGATTGAGACTCAAATTTCCATCCAATCCATGGCTATGGTGCCCTTGTATGTGGCCTCCATGAATCACTGCCTTGCAAAGAAATTCCCAGACAACATGTCCTCTCGGTCATGTTGTCTCCCACAGTACCACACTCTCGTTTTTTTTCTACATTACTTCGGGGAAGAGTTATTACAGAAAGGCCACAACTGTTTTAAATTTGACCAACGTTATATATGTTGAGCCCTAACCTCAGCTTATTCAGCAGCAACCTGGGCTAACCAGTCCCCAGTGTTAAGACATATGGAGGGTCAAGGCCCTGTGGGAAGAAAAACTTTAAGGAGACAGAATCCTCTGACACAGAGCAATTGATTTGCTTGGCAACTTAGTAAGGACCACTTGGGTTTTCACCATTGTTAATTTCTCAAGTTTCTTGAGTGCTATTACTTGAAATTATATGGAAGACAACCTATTTGGAACTACCTGATGCCATACTTAAGATAACAGAACAAAGGGTAATGAATCAAAGCTTTGAGACACAAGGGGGAAGAAGTCTCAACATCCCACACCCCTGAGGCTCAGCATGCATCCACCGATTCATCACCATGAGAATCACATATTCTGAGAGCTGTGCTTATTTCAAGGGCTTCCATCCTTCTGCAATTCTAGATTAGTGAGTCTGTGTTTATTTAGGAGTGCAAATACATACAGTTAACAAGGAAAATAATTGTGAATTTCAGATAGGAGTCCCTCTGTGCCTTTTTTGCTTTAAAGGCAACTCTGGACTTTACACAGATGCAAAAAATTCAAGTCAATTTATAAGGGTAGAAAAAAAAGCAAGAGTATTCATTAATATTCTCGTACGTGTGATTTTTGTTCCTCTGCTGAATTAATATTTAAATGTGCAGTTATTTCATCAAAGAACTAAAAATCAGGCTGTTGAAACTTTCAAAAAGAATGTGATAGAACTTCAAACACAGCCAGGAAATAAACAATGCCCAGCTCATGTTACCTATGTTTACTCTAAAAGACAGGATTCCACCTCCTGAGTTCTGCTGTGTACCTGGGAAAAAAGGCAAAGGTTTTGTGGGAATTTAAACATTCAAGTCCCAGAGAGTCAGTAAGAACCACCAGTGAAATAAGATCTGGTAGGTCTGTGTGTGTTTGCACAGATCAACGCAGTACATATGGAATCCAATCCTTGCTTAGATAAATTGTCTTACCATGGTCCCGGAATAAATTTAATGCACATAGACTAAACTTAAATCTCCTTAAGCTTAATTGGCAAAGTCCAAATGATTCTTATATAGGGCTCTAAATTCCCTATATTCTTGAGAAAGCGGGACTTGGAAAACTGTACAGTGTTTCAACTAAGAACTTTACCAGAGTGTATGTAACACACAGCTGTACTCTGCAGCTGCTGAGGGACCTGGAAGCTGCTCTGCCCTTTCTCCAGCACACACATCCCTGCACATTCTTATTCCTTTACAGTGGAGGAGGATTTATCCTGGGAGTAACCTCCAGATCCCTGAAGGGAAATGATGCTGAGGCAGAGGACTAGGTTATTCTTATTGACTTGGCACACAGCAGGGGACTCAGGAACCAAGTTCTTGTTTTGACTTTGTCACTGACATCTGTATGACCATGTATAAGTTACCAGCTCTATTACCATCATCACTTACTTCCTTATCCCTAAAAGATATGTGCTGCTGTGAATATAACTTTGAACATGGAGCTACAGAATACTGGGAAAAACAGACCAAATTGCTATCCTAATGCTCTTTTTCAATCCTGGTCAAATCCTGAGGTCTTCTCACTACTTTCCCTCAAAGCCTCCTTGATTTCCTTTCTCCATGACTAGACTTTGATGGTGTTTAGCTCACAGAAGAAGCTATCACCTCTATAGAAGATTCTCATGAATTCCTTTCATAATTTTCTGGGCTAATACTGAAGTTTCAATGGTGAACAAATGGACACATCCTAGGTTTGCTTTCATCAAGTTCATCTGTCAACTTTGCATGTATGATCAGCTTATTCTAGACTGACATTTCTGAAGCCCACAATTTTTGATTCAGTGGGAAGAATTTTCCCCTGGAAGTTCTTTTGCCACTGGAGTGAGGGTAAAGGCAAAGCTCTGTTCTCACCCTAGTTATATGTCATATGTATATCAGTGACCAGTGATGCTCTTGGCATGTTTCTTGCTTGTCAGTTGGTTCTAATGGCTCCAGTTATCTGTTCTGCCATGGAACATCTGTGTCCCATTGCACAGTTTCAGAGGAGGGCTGTGCTGCTGTGATGTCCTAACAACCTTTCTGCTATCTTTCAATGAATTGTTAATGATCAAGACAGATATCTGTAACTCTGGGCCCCATTGAATACAGACAGTCTTCTTTGTATGAAATAACAAAATGGGAATTCCATCACCAAGGTCCTTCATGCAGATGATCCATTTAGCAAAAAGACCCTAACAAGATGTTTAGACTAGAACTCATTGTCTACATTCAATTCTGTACCCCATCTCCACCCAACTTTATTAAAGTAAGGAAAGAATTCATCACATTTTTAGGTGACTCAAAAAACATTAATATTGAAGACAGTAGGAATAGTTGACCTGGAAAGGAAAGATAACTAAGAGAGGAAAATAAGAGTCATCTTTAAAGAGAGTTGTCACGGTAGACAATGACTTTGAGTTGTCCTAAAGGGCATAACTAGAACTGATAGGCAAGTAAGCAAATGACAAACTTAAGTTCAATTTAAAGTCAAACTTTCTAATTAGTGCTATCTGTAACTGGCATATACTGCTTAGGGAAACTAAGTTCCCTGTTTGGGGTAAGCGGGGAGGGGAGGGGCGATGGGCACATGAGCCAAGGGACAGTAAGGTCAGGATGTTACAATGGAATTGAGCTTTGGGCCATAGAGAAAATGTTGAATTAGATGATGTCTGACAGCTCTCACACAACTATGACTTTCTAAATTAATAGAACTAGTGCTCTAGAATGCCCAGGGTTTTGTTAGCACAAGCTGGATAAAGTGAGGATACTTGAACATTTGCTGGAAAGGGAAACAGAAACAAGGCCACCAAAGAATATAGAAACACCCATTCTCACAAGTCTGTTGGAAATCAGTTCATGCCAGATGAGTAGTCATGCTTTTTGGAGATTTTGAAAAAGAGTGGGATGTACAGAATGAATTTTTTGAATATTATATTAGCTTTCAGGCACACATACACGCACACACAAATATGTGTGTGTGCATGCATATATGTGTGTGCGTGTGCACGTGCACTCATGCATGCCATGGCACATGTGTGGAGGTCAGAAAATAACTTATAGGAGTCATTTCTCTCTTTCTGTCATGTGGGTCCTGGTATTGAATTCAGGCCATCAGACTTGAAGCAAGTGCCTTTATCCACTAAGCCATCTTGTAAGCCCCATGAAGATTTTAGTTTTTTGTTGTTTTTTAAAAGATCATTGAGGGACTAGAGAGATGGTTCAACAGTTAAGAGCACTGGCTGCTCTTACAGAGAACCTGGGTTTGATTCCCATCTCCACATGGAGGCTAATAACTGTCCATGACACCAGGTCCAGAAGATCCGACATCTTCTAGCCTCTGTGGGCATTTCATGACATGTCATAGGTGCACTTACATGTAGACAAAGCATTCATACACATAAAGGTGAATAAATAAAAATTTAAAAAACCATTGAGTCCAAATACATTGGTAGCATATATTTATAAGCCCAGGGGAAACTGAGGCAGAAAGATGGCAAGTTCCACATCATTCTGAGCTGCAAAGTGAGACTCTGTTTTAAAGGGGAAAAAAAGATGATGATGATGATGATGAAAATCTCTTATATGAGAGGATAGAATGCTGAGTAGAAACCATCTGTCCTAAGAGCTGATTCTGTAGGTCTCATTCCAGCTCTCATCTGCCTGTGTCAAGGGGCCACTCTTTTAAGGATGGGTCACCAATGGACCTAAACTCTATCTAGGGTCTGCCTATTCTGCATGACACAATCATAATAACCAAGCAGTCGATTTAGAGTCACCCATTTCATGTGTATGTACAGAATAACCCCGTGCACCATTGCAGAGGAGAACAGTGACTCTTGAAAATGAATAAAGCTGGTACAAGAAACACAAAAGCAGCAGCTGGGCCTGGTGACACATGCCTTTGATTCTAGCACCAGGGAAGCAGGGACAGGTGGATCTCTGTGAGATCCAGGCCATCCTGGTTTGCATAGTTCCAGGCCAGCTGGGGCTACAGAAAGACTATCTAAAAAAACCAAAAGAAAAAGAAAAAAGAGGAGGAGGAGGAAGGGGGGGAACCCATATGAGTTTGATATCATTCACTCAATATTTTATTTAAATATATATATATATAATCTCCCCCAAACAGCACAAATACACTCACTTTGACTATAGTTTTCTTGGACAAATGTGTAGGAGATGCCCTCAGCCAGGCGAGAAGCTTGCACTGTAATACACAGGCTCTCTGTCAACTTTTGATCTGCCTGTAGCTGGCATTGGCTGTCTTGGCCACCATTTTTCATTAAAATGATAGACCTGGTATACCGTCCTTCTTGGCACATAATTAGGTATGAAATGGAGAATCATTCTTCTGTGCCTCCATCTCCCTTTTTCATGTGCCACATTCACAACAGTGGAAAGACTCTGGTGCCCAGGGCTGTTTCTTAATCCTGACTCCAGCTGCTTCTGAGTTAGTTCCAGGACAAACACATTAGCCCATTTTCTACCTCATATCTTCAAACTCTGAAAGAAAGTGCATTGAATAGTCTCCCTATGAACAATTTACAAGGTGGCTGGTAACAGCCACAGATCGAGCCTTGTAGAGAATTTATTTCCAAGTAAATTGATACCAGTGTTATTTATTGGAGCATTAGTCTGGCCAACAGCTTCATGTTAGAGCCAGCATTTGAAAGCCCAGTGAGAAATTTGTGCTCGAAAATGTGAATTAAATAGCTCTTGCAGGTTATTGCTCCTTGGCAATTTATATCTTGCCTGGCAAAAACTCTCCTATGTTCTCATTTCTTATGAGATGCTCAGATCATGTCCTGCTCCCTGTTCAAGGTGAACATGATACAATTGCAGCCCAGAGCAAACTCGCTGCCAATAGCTTTCTAAACAGTGGAGTTTCCTTAAAGAGAGCAAACTCATACTCAAGTGATTGAAGTTTTGACCTGAACGTTCATTGCTGCTTATCTTTTTGTGATTTTTGCTTCCAAGAATTCCCACAGATAATATTATTAGGATAAGTGAGGCTTGTAATCCAAAGAGAGAGACAAATTATTGCAAAACTCTCTCCTAAGAATTGAACATATTGGCTAATGCCATAGTGCTACATGTCAGCTTTCTTCACGATGAGTTCCTGGGCTTGTTATTTTTGTTCTCTTCTGGTGTAGGCTTCCTATGTGCTGAGGGACCCCAGGGAATTCAAGATAGGCTAGCAAAAGAAGGACACATAAGCATTGACTGGGTAAGCTGGGAGTGATGACTGGGCTGTTTATAAAGGCAAGTGAGCTAAGCTCAAATTTCCTCCTTGGGTCTACTTGGTAGCATTTTCTACATTGACACAAAATGAATTAACTCACCTAGCTGACCATCCATTGTGATATTTACAGTACTGTTGCCATTCTTTAACAGTTGTCTTGAAAGTTCATCAAATTTATAACTACTACTTCATGATTCTTGAGTTTCAAGAAAACCCTGAAAAGAGACACTCGTTAATATAAGAATGCAAAGCCAGGAAGGCTTGGGCTGGTCAGTGTTAGACAACCACGAGGATCATTGCATTGGTGGAACAATTATTTCCTAAGGCCCTCGTTCCTGAGAGGGAGGGGGGTGAAAGAAGATGAAGGAAGCAGTGTCTTAGTTTGCTATTTAAAAAAAATAGGGTTGTGAACTGGGTGACTTACTAATATAAATAACAGAAATTCATTTCTCACAATTTTGACTATCAAGATGTCTACAGATTGTCTGGGAATGCCCCCCCCCCTTTAATCTTATGTGTGTGCATGATGTATGTGTGCCCTTACATGTGTGAAGTTTGGGCACATGTGTGTGCCATGGCAGGCATGTACAGGTCAGAGGACAACCTTGGGTGTTGATCCTCTCTTCTTGTTTGAAGCAGGGTTTCTTATTTGCCATTACATACCCCATTTGGCTTCCAGGTTTCTTCTTGTCTCTGCCTTTTATCTCACTGTGAGAGCACTAAGGTTATAAGCCCTAGCCCAGAAGTATATGGGTTCTGGGGATCCAAACTCGGGTCCTCTTGCTTGTACAGTAGACCCTTTACCCAGTGAGCCATCCCAGCCCCAGATGGTTTCCTTCTTATAGATCGTGTCTTCTTGTAGCCTCATGTACTGAAAGGAACAACTTCCTCTTTCATGTGGGCATGAATGCCATTCATGAGGGCTAAGCCCTGTTGATACTGTCACCTTGGGGGTTAGGATTTCTACATATCACAGGTATAAACATTCAAACCATGTCTGGTGAAAAACAAATATCTTAACTCCCACTGTCTGAGCTAGTTGAGAGAAGCAGGGACATCCTGGGTCCTCTTGACCTGATGTTTCCATAACCTCATAGCCATATCTGTGAAGGAAGGAGACATAGATCAGTGTCCATTTCTGCTGTGGCTAATGGTCAAGGGTTGGAATAAGCAGAACTATCAGACCTTACTTTTTTCCATATTTCTTGTTCCCAAATCTGGTCCCCCCTTGGGTACCATTCCAACCAAATCAAGCCACTAAAGTAATCAGCTGGCCATTTCAGTTTGGGTCATCAAACCTGTTTCTATAAGCTCCCCAGGTCTAAGGTCTCATTTGTCTGCCCTGTAGACCTGAAATATCAGGGACTGGTATGTCTGGATTCTGACTCTCACAATCAGATACAGGAAATGGATCTGTGGCAGAAAGCAATTAGGACATTTACTGTGTATAATAAACCTTTCCAACAAGGAATGCATTTGCTATTCTCAATGTTCTGCCCAAGTATCAGTGTACATAATGGTCAGAATTAGTGATAGCTACATGAAAAACAAAGACTCAAGCCAATGACTTTAATCAGGCTGTCACCTCTGTATTCTGAAGTCCTTGCTCTTTCTAGTTCCTGAATCTTTAAGACTGTCACAACACAGTATTTCCATTTCTGCTATGGCAGGGTTGCTTCAATCCCCATTTCTCTTTACTGTTGACTTTTGATCTTAGAACTGTGGTTTGGACTACTTGACACCATGCACCTTATTCTGTTAGAAAGGCTTTCAGTCATGGCTTGTGTACAGTGGAGTTATTCATAAAAGTACATTAGCAAGATCTAATGGTGTCTCTTCAAAGACTTACATAAGCCAAACCTTCCTTAGGTTTTGCTTTGGAGCAATGTTCAGCACCTGATTTAAAGTTAAAGAAAATAACTCATGTTTTTGCCAAAATACAAGCTGGACATTGACATAAAAAGTCTAAAGTGAGGGCTAGAGAGATGGCTCAGTGGTTAAGCGTGCATACTGCTCTTGCAGAAGACCTGAATTCAGTTCTCAGCACCCACGTAGACAGCTCACAACTACCTATAACTCAATCTAGATCTGACACCCTCTTGTGACCCCCTGGGTACCTGCACTCACATGTACATGCCTACACACAGACACATGTATACAACGTAGTTAAAAACTATTAAAAAAAATAAATATGTGTCCTTACAGTTTTGACTGTTTTTGTTTTGTTTTTTTGTTTTTTTGAGAAGAAACCTAGGAGGTTTGGGGATGGAACTCAATGGAAGAGGACTTACCTAGAGAGGCCCTGGGATCTACAAAGAAAAGAAGAAATACTACTGATTATATTTTTCCATTAAATAAAAGGCAAAACCAATGTGCTACCCTGGTAAGGTCTGGGCTGGATCCTTGAAACGGCTAATGCTGTGTCTTCTCATCCAGGCTAGTGAAAGGCGTGTTCACCTCATCGTATCCCGTCAGGTTCGACAGCACAGCCCAGACATCTTTCAGGAAGCTGGCTGGATCAGCAGCAGCAGCAGCCGGTCCCCAGTCCCAGGGGAGAGGAGTACAGCTTCCAAGGTGAGGCCCAGCCAAGCATGTTTGCTGCTCTTGCAAGGAGCTGTTTCTTGGGAACTGTATACTTTAACATTTCTAAGTGTTATCTCTGGACTTTGTCATTTCAAGAAACACTACCCTACTGTGAAACTAAAAGGCTAAAGTCTCATCTTCAGACTTGGGAGATAGCAGGTGTCCTCCATCCAAGCAGGAGTGAGGAAGGTACTGGGAGACTTGAAATTCCATCTTTCAGTCCTTATATGGGGACCTGATTTCTAGTCTAAGCCAAATACATGTCATGTTTTTAACCAAGAGTCATTCTGCATAAGGATTGTTTTCCGTTCACTTTGAGATAAAACAAGGCATTTGCTTGGTTGCTAGTTTTTCAGTTTCCCAATATGCCTGGAAATTATGATGACTCCCCTACTATTTATAATATTTTGTGTTTGCAGAAAGGACAAGGAAGATAATTGGAGCATTCAAAGGCCATGGAATATTAGGGCAGGTTGGGCCTGGGAAAAGCCAGGCACATGTGTCTTGTCTTATAGCATTCATTTTTTTTACATTTTGTTTATTTTTTGACATTTTATTTATTATTTTTATTTACGTGTATGAGCACATTGACTGCATGTAGGTAGGTGTACCTATGTTGTGCAATGCCCATGGAGGACAGAAGAAGGCATCAGATCCCCTTGAACTAGAGTTATGGATGGTTGTTAGCTGCCATGTGGATGTTGGGAGTCGAACCAGAGTTACGGATGGTCCTCTGCAAGAGCAGCCAGTGTTCTTAACTGCTGAGTCCTCTCCCCAGTCCCAATTGTTGCTGTTATTGTTTTATGTGTATGAGTGTTTTGCCTGCCTGTATGTAAGTGCACCTATGTCATGAAATGCCCATGGAGGCTAGAAGAGGGTGTTGAATCCCCTGGAACTGGAGTTAATGATGACTATTAGCCATCATGTGGGTGCTGGGAACCAAATCCGGGTCCTCTGTAAGAGCAGCCAGTGTTTTTAACCACTGCGCCATCTCTCCAGCTCCAAAATCCAGAAATTTTTAATGTATTTTAATTACATTATTTATTTATTTTGTGGGTGTTGGCATGTGTGTATGTGTGTTAGCATGGACATGGCATGGTACACATGTGGAGGTTGGAAGTCAACTTACAGGAGTCAGTTCTCTCCTTCCTCTATGTGATCCCATGGTTCAAAGTCAGGTTGTCAGGCTTGGTGGCAAGCACTTTTACTCACTGAATCATCTCACTGGCCCAAGAAAAAAATTTAAAACCCTGCAGAATGCATCTGTGAGGCAGATCTACCCTTCCAGACATGGATTTGCAACCTGTCTTCAAGTGAAGTGACTTGGCCCAATTTGTACTTCTGTCTGTGGCTTCTGTTAGGGGTGAGGCTTCATTTGGATGGGTGTTGAACAGCACAAACTTTGTTTAGTCCAAATTAAGAGTCCTATGGCCTTGACTTAGCATGCCGTCATAATGATCTTGAGCTTTCTATAGCCATTTCCCCTAGGAGCTGATGTTCTGAGGTGACTGATAACTAAAAACAAACACCATTATAGGTTTCCTTGAAACAGAGAAGATAGAATGAATATTCCTTTCCTTACACATCAAGTCACAAGTTGAGTTTCTGTAGAAAATACCTCTGCTTTACCCAGGGAGCCCAAGATCACATCCCTATCCTTATTCTCCAGACAGTCATCCTCCCATAAACCCAAGAGTTCCATGTTTATTTATAAGAAGCAATTTAGGGAGACCAAATACATCCTGCTAAAACATTTTATGGATAGAAACTCCTTGGTATCTTCTTGCTAATAAGTACTATCAAGCATTTTTAAAAGAAACTGACAGTGTTCATTAGTGGAAAACTACGTGTTAGCTTTTAAAAAAGCTTACAAAAAGCTTTTAGATAATTAACTAATTTCAGTTAAATTGTGTAGAATATGTTATATTTTCATTCATTAAACTGCTAAAAGTAAGGCCTGCACCACACTGTGGCTTTATAATTCCTTCCACCTACCCACAGTGAGTCATGGAAAAGCCAGGAGGCTCTAATCAGAACTCTGTTACAACCCTCTATCATGTGTCTGAATTCCTGAAAACATGCATACCAGCCTACCAGGAAATTGTTTTCATTTATACTTCTATCTGCTTTCTAAAATACCTTCATCCACCCCCCGAAAAGGGACATTTTTAAATAAAACCAAGACATATATAACTGCTTGATGGTTAGGTTTTTAAGTTGATTTAGGAAACAACATAGGATTTGAAAATAGGAACTTAAATGCTTCCAAGGAAGCAAGTCAGGAGCTGGTAGGGGGTGGTGCACTCGGGAGGCAGAACCAAGCAGATCTCTGTGAGATCTAGGCCAGCCTGGTCTACATAATGAATTCCAGACCAGTTGGGGCTACAGGGAAACCCTGTCTCAAAAAAAAAAAAAAGAAAAGAAAAAAGAAAGAAAGAGACACAGAGAGAGAGAGAGAGAGAGACAGACAGACAGACAGACAGACAGACAGAGAAACAGAGAGACAGCAGGACAGAGAGAGAGTCAGAGGGAGGGAGAGTCAGAAGAAAGAAAAAGAAAGAAGGAAGGAAAGGAGGAAAGGAGGGAAGGCGGGAGGGAGGGAGGTAGATCAGCCAGGATTTGTGGGACAGAGTTTATAGCTGCTGAAGAGTTAAGGGCTAACAGGCTTGCAGTCACCTGTGGGGAGAGGAGGAAGAATGTGACCAAAGCAATGCACAGAGGCACATTAACCATCTGCCCGGCCTTGATTTCTGATATCAAGTCGCAGGGCGTATAGGTAGGTCATGATATACTGTATATTTTTCCTCATGCTTTTTAGGTGTCTGAAGTATTTTATTTTTAAAATACATATCAAATATTCTAAAATATTTCATACAGCTTGAGTGGTGAAAACTTGGTTGCCCGTATTTTTTGATTAGCTTGCCCTATTTCATCATAAGGTATGTGTTTAAGCATTAGGGAACATTATGAAGTCTCTAAAGTAGAGAGTGGGGAGAAGAGGCAGATAAGCCAGATTATCTCAGTCATGCTTTCCTCCTCCAGACCCAAGTTGGGCAGCTCAGTGAGAGAAATTTACTGAAAGCCTTGGGTTTTGCAGTCACTAAGATGAGTCAGTCTCTTTCCATCGCCTTCTCCCCTGAGGAAGGCAAATGGCCAACAAAGACACAAGATATGTGGACATAAGTGGTGTTGCAGTCCTTGTACTTAGCTACTTGGTGCTCAGCTAATCCTCTCTTTGTCCAGGGCTACCAGGGATGTTTGGAAAATACCAAAGACATGTGAAAGATGTATAAAATAAAGCAATTTCTGCATGTGTATATGTATATGTGTTCATATGCATGTGGAGGCCAGAGTTTGACATCTGATGCCTACCTTGATTGCTCTCCACTGTGTGTACTGAGGTTGGGTCTCTCACTGAGCCCAAAACTCACCTGCTAAGCCAGTCTAGCTAGCCATCCTGCCCTGTGGATCCTGTCTTGATTTCTCAAGCTCTAGGATTGCAGGTAGACCACCATTCCTGCCTGGCTTGTGTATGAGTGCTGTGGATCTCAACTCTGGTCTTCATTCTTGTACATTGAGCCATCTCCTCAACCCTGGGTCAATTTTTTTACATAGAAGTCGTCACTGGGCCAGCTAGGTTCAATGAGTAAAGGCACTCACTGCTAAGCTTAACAGTTTGATCCCCAGGACCCTCATGATGGAAGGAAAGAACCAACTCTCTTCAGTTGTCGCTGAACTCCACATGCATGCCCACAGCCTCCGGAACCTCCACCTGTACAATAAATAAATATAATTAAGAAAATGAAAATTTTGCTAATATTCATGAATGATGAGTTTTTTAAGATGTTGACTCACCACTATTAAAAAGGGATGACTCCCTCAACAGATTTGGGTACAGTTTACTTTATAAGCTTCAAGTTTCTCCCTGGTCTCTAGTCTGTTCGTCCCTCTATGTTTACTATTCCTTTGTGAAATGTAAACTTTCTCTGAGTTAGATTATAAACTTTGGGATACTATGACTCTATTATATAATGGTTTTCTGTGTGCTCTCCATGATACCAAGGACAACCATCATATTGATGCAGATAATATATATGTATGGAAACCACATTGTGAGTGCATGTACCATGTTTTTCCATCTGTGCTTTCAGCCCCTCCATCCTGCAACCACTTGTCATGAGAAGGTGGTAAGTATCAGAAAAGACCCCAGCGAATCTCTTGGCATGACCGTTGGAGGGGGAGCGTCACACAGGGACTGGGACTTGCCTATCTATGTCATCAGTGTCGAGCCTGGAGGAGTCATAAACAGAGATGGAAGAATAAAAACAGGTAAAGTAAAGAGAATTAAGGCACTGGGGTGGCAGAGCATGGAAAAGAGTCAGCAGCTTGCTGGGTTAGCTAACTATTCCCAGAATCAAGGGGAACGTGGGAGAGGGAACTAGCTAGAACTTCCGTACCCCTTTGACCAGGACTAGTTTGAATGTAACTGCAGACCAGGATTCACCCCTCTTATATTATTAGTTAATGTGGGTGGATGTGGGCCAGTTTGCCTGCTGGTAAAGCTAGAGACTCCCCACCCCCAACTATCCCAGGATGCACAGGCAGCTGCTATGCTCATGAGCAAGTTGCCTCTATGGAACAATCCGATTCCACTCATTCTAACCAATTCTTTGCTAGATTGACCAGTGATGAAAGTAATGTATGAATTTTGCCCCTTTGTGGAATAAATGACTTGATGGATTTTGATTCAGTGGTATTATTAAGCACCATGCAAGGGACTTGCCCATTGGTGAAAAGTGGCAGTCCCTTAGCCACCCTGTCCTGGGTTCCTCTAAGCAAAATACAGAGGTGTCCAATTTACTTCTGTATCTATCCTTAATGATATTGTCAGTATACATGAAGAGGTCATTGAGATAAACAGCTGTGCCTCTTAAGGATTCAAATTGAAGACCAAAAAAAGTTTCAAAAGTACAGTGGTTCAGCCTGAGAAGGTACAGAGGGATGACATGGTATAGGATTTAGACAACCAAAAATGTGCTTCTTTTGGGGTCAGTAAGGACTTGAGGATTTTCCCTTTCATTTTCCTCCTGTCCTGACACAGTTATTCTGTATGAAAAAGATGACGTATAAAAGGCAGAAAAGGGGACTGGAGAGATGGCTCAGCAGTTGAGAGTACTGGTTGCTCTTGCAGAGGACCTGGGTTCGATTCCAGCACCCACATGGTGGCTACAAACCTTAACTCCAGTTCCAGGGGAATCCGCTGCCCTCTTCTGACATCCATGGCATTGCACGACATGGGTGCACTCACATACATGCAGGCAATACACTCATACACATAAAATAATAAAATATTTTTTAAAAGGCAGAAAAACAGGAGGGAGATGAAGGAATAGAAAGCAACAGCAGAGAGGTGTATATTTTAATTTCTCTTGTTTTTCGGCAAGTACCTGGCTAGAGGACAATGAGGTCCAGCAAGAGGTGACTTGACGAGAGAGTATGAGAAGGAGGATCATAGCATGTGATATCCATGAGTAGTCTTGCACAGAGTAGGTACTTAGCTGATGCTAGCTCTTAAGAGCACAGAGACTGCTAACTGCTTTCCAACTCTATGAAAGCTTAGGTCTCGTTCTCTAACTGATCTGCCCCCCGCCCTGCCAGACACTCTTATTTGTTCCCCAGTCCCTGTGTTGGATGTATCATACATGCCAGTCCCTGTGTAAGCAACTGGAGTTTTTGCCAAGTGCTAAAAAAAAAAAAAAAAAACAAAAAACAAAAAAACATGAACTAATAGGTTGTCTTTGGTTAAGTAGTGAACTTAGCTATTTCATGTAAGGCAACAGGTGAACACTGGAACACTTGTAGGTATGGTTTAGAAATCCCCAAACAAGATTGATTACCACTGTGAAAAGCACCCACTGTTTTAGCATTTGCCACATGGGACTCAACCTCATGCCACCATGAGCTAAAAGCACACACCTTGCCTCATCCTGTCCACATTGGATCAGCCCCTGTCCCTTCACACATGAGCAGAAGCCCCTGTTGCACTCACTGAGGATACTTCTGCTTCTCTGGCCTCAGGTGACATTTTATTGAATGTGAATGGGATTGAGCTCACAGAGGTCAGCAGGACTGAGGCAGTTGCCATACTGAAGAGTACATCGTCTTTGGTGGTACTCAAAGCCTTGGAAGTTAAGGAACAGGAGCCCCAGGAAGACCCCAGCAGCCCGGCAGCCCTGGACTCCAACCACAATGTGACTCCACCCTGTGACTGGTCCCCATCCTGGGTTATGTGGCTGGAATTACCACGGTGAGTCCCAATATGTCAGTCCCAATGGATTATACTTTGTAAGCCACTCTTTCACTCTCTTGGGCTGATTCATTGCACTAGCATCTTAATGAGACTCAATCTTGGTTGTGGGACTGTTTGAAATAATTCTATCTTCCTGTTGGCAAACGAAAATGCACATGGAAATCCTAGGGCAGGAATGAATGTTTGGATGTGGAAACACTGCTAGGCATTCCCACTGAAGGATTTGCAGAGCTGCCATGAACAGCTGTACAGGTTGGAATGTGGCAAGGTGTTCAACTGGTAGGCAGAAACCTAGCCTGTGTTTCCATGCTAATCTGAGCTGCACCTGCCCAGGGCAAGTTTCATTTTGCTGAATTTGCTTGTGGCAGTCCTAAGAACTCTATGCCAACTGTGACTTCAGTTCAGGAGGGTCTGGTTGCATGTAAAGCAGCACAGCAGAACACTGTGGCTTCTCCCAGATGTTTAAGCATCTGCTGGTTAGCGATGCTTCTCAGAACATCTCTCTTTAGTTTATTTCCTGGAAAGTTCTTTAGGAAGCAGCTGCATTGCCACTTTAGCGAGCTATTACTAGAACCTTGTAACAATGTATTAAATTGCCTGACAATCACTTCAGAGAAGGATTCAGAGACACACCCACAAAAGGGCTATGTCCAGGTACCTACTGGTCAAAGGATGGGTAATTTGGTGTTTGCTGTCCTGGACCAGAGCAAAATCTACCAGCCTTTAGATCATTGCTTCTAGTTTATCATGAAATAGGACTAAATAAGTAAAGCAAGGCATTTGGTTTTAGAATGTTTTTCTTGAGGGTGGAAATCAATCTTAGTTGTCTGTTTATTAAACCTAAAATGCTGGCCTACTTAGATTCTCTTTGAGCCTCCTTTAGTTGATATATTATTTTATAAATCAATATGTTTTTTAAGTTCTTAAATAGTTGCACATGAGCATTAAGGCTATTTAAACATTTTACAACTGAGCCAAGGTAAAAGACTGCTGTATTTCTTATATTAACAAAATTTTATTTCAAAGAATATTTAGGGGCTGGAGAGGTGGCTTGGTGGTTAGGGCACTGGTTGCTCTTGCAAAGGACCCACATTCAATTCTCAGCACCCACATGGCAGCTAACAACCTTGCATAACTCCAGTTCCAGGGGAATTCGATGACCTCTTCTGACCTCCATGGGCATTGCATAACATGGGTGCATTTACATACATGCAGGCAATACACTCATACATGTAAAATAAAAATAATAAGTAAAATATTTTTAAAAGTATGTCTAGAACTAGAATTTTAAGTTAATTTTTTTTGAAAGCTATCTTGTCATGCAATCAAAGTTCTTCATGTTTCTCTTGTATGATGGAGGACAGCATGGGGTACTTTTCACTCCTCCAAGCTGATAACTCTTCTCCCTCTCCTGTGGCCCATCTGGCATTGGGTGACAGTTCTCTGTTCTTGCTGGGGTGCATCTCACTTATGATCATTTCCTCCATGATCCAGGGAAAGCTTATGTCAAAGTTTGATGAACCATTTCTAAGAAGGGCCAGAGAGCTTGTGCTTAGGAGTATGGGGTCTTAGCAACTGCTCACTTCTGTAGTGTAATATAAAGGCAGCTGTAGACCATCCATGAATGAAAGCTGGTTGGTCCAGCCATAGTTTGCTGCCTCTGGCCTGAGTTTGTATGTACTCACTCAAAGGCAGTGGTAGCACATGCAACTCTTATGTACCAATATTTTAAAAAAGGAAATCAAAGAATCAACCTCGAGCATCATGAAAGACACTGTGACATCATGTTTACTGCAAGGAGGAACTGGTTAAAAAAAATCATGGCACATCTGTGAAGCCATGTGGCAGGCAGGTCAACTGGAGATTGTACTATTGTGGCCCATTGTATTTTTTGGACTGTAGATATGGCACCTCGGAAGCCAGCATCAAGCTGTGTGAGTTTGGAGTGGCCTCATTCCTTTCCCTCCTTATGTGGTCTAGCCTTTCCACCTAATGTTCAAAACAACTGTCCTGTTATTTCAGCTCTTCTCTTCAGGAACTCCAGATGTGGACATGTTTGATATCTGTTAGCTTTCGTTTTCTCGTGACTCTTTTCAGCTCTGTTCTCTCCCTGGTTTCTTGACTTACTTCCTTCAGTCCTTCCACTCCCAGTGTTCTCAGCAACGTATCTGTTCCTTTGCGGCCACTTTCATTTCTGGTTCTTCTGCTTTTGTTAAGTTCTGAAAGGTTACTACTTCTTCTGTCATACCATATCATCTTTTCCATTCTTTTCTCTTCTCTTCTTTTCTTGAGACAGAGTATCACTATCACTATGTTGCCCAGCCTGGACTAGAACTTTAATCAGTCTTCCTGCCTTTGCCTCCTGAGTACTGGGATTACAGGCTTGTGTTATCATGCCCCATACCTTGTTTAAAATCTTTTTTTTAAATTATTTTTATTTTATGTGTATGAGTGTTTTGCCTGCATGGATGTAAGTGCACCTGTGTTGTACAGTGCCTTCAGAGTTCAGAAAAGGGTGTCAGATCCCCTGGAACTAGAATTAAAAACAGTTGTTACATACCATGGGGGTGCTGGGAATCGAACCCGGATCCTCTGGAAGAGCAGCCATACACAGTGCTCTTAACTGCTGAGCCATCTTTCCAGCCCCTCATCCTCTGAAATATTATTCATCATTGAACTCTTGTTTACAGAGCAATTGTTGCACAAGTATTTTAAATCACAGTGATATGACTAATTGTAAATTTCATGTTCTATAGTAGAATTTTACTCGTAACATTTTTCTAGAGAGTGGTATTTGTATTAGGGTTTTTTTCTTTCACCTCCCCTCCCCTCTTTCTTTTGCAGCATTATCTATAAATCTTTAAGTGAGATAAATTTTTCTGAGCAGCCATCTGATGGAAGTTGGTCAAAGAGAAAGAATCAGAGCTGTGTCCTAAGGAGTCGAAATGTCTCTTTATGGGGCTGGAGAGTTCTTGCAGAGGACCCAGGTTCGATTCCCAGCACCCACATGGAGGCTACGAACCTTAACTCCAGTTCCAGGGGAATTCAAAGCCCTCTTCTGACCTCTGTGGCATTGCACGACACGGTGCACTCGCATGCCGGCAATACACTCATACACATAAAATAAAAATAATAAATAAAATATTTTTTAAAAAAGAAATAAATGTCTCTTTATAACATAGGGTTTGGTGCATTCTTCTCCCAAACCAACTGAGGTCAGCCTTGCTGGGCCACTTGTGACGACCTACCATACTCACAGATTCTTCTTGTCTACATGAGTTATCTGCTTAGACTCTCTCTACTTTACACATGCCTTTCTTTGTCAAGATGAGCCCGGGGAAGCCAGCCTGCCCACTTCTGGTGTTCTGACAGAGTAGACTTTTCACTGTGGCTCTGCTGACATGCACTTACCAGCTGTGGTGTCCTCTCTTCCAACTTCCTTCTTTGATGGCCTTTGGCAGCGATCCCTCGTACATGGCAACTCTTCATTTTGCATAAGATGGTGTAGTGGTTTGAATGAGAATGTCCTCCATAGGCTCCAAGTGTTTGGACATTTTTTTTTTATTTTATGTGTTTGAGTGTATGGCCTGCATGTGTGTATATTCACCCATATGATGCAATGCACATGGAGATCAGAAGAGGGAGTTAGATACTCTGGAACTGGAGCTACAGATGGTTGTTAGCCACCATGTGGGTACTGGGAAGTGAACCCAGGTCGTCTTCAAGAGCAGTCAGTGCTCTTAACAGCTGAGCCATCTCTCCAGCCTGTATTTGGACATTTTGTCCCGTTTGGTGGTGTTTTGGGAAGCTTTAAGAGGTATAGCCATGCTAGAGGAAGCACATCACTGGGGAAGGGCTTTGAGAGTTCTTAAGCTTTGCCAGATTTCTAGCCACTCTCTGCCTCCTGTGTCTGCTTCAAGATGTGAGTGCTCCACTTTTTACTCTTGCCACGGCCGGCCATCTCCTGCTGCCATGCCTCCCCACCATGACAGACTCTGATCCCTCTGGAACTGTAAGCTCAGATAAACTCTTCCTTTTGTAAGTTCCCTTGGTCACCGTGTTTTATCACAGCAATAGAAAAGTAGCTAATACAGGTGGAATCTATATTGCTGTTTCCAGGTCCTTTAGTTGATTTAATAGTAAAATTTAAAGCACAAAGGGAACATAATATTCACTGTAACTTCAAACTTGAAGTGCGTCTGTGCTGACATCTTTCTGAAGGTCTCAATCCTCAGACGTGCTGCTGTCCTAGGTACTCTGACACTCTAGGGACATGAGCTCAGTTTCCATGCATGGAAAAGATCCATTCACATCTGTAATCTTGACTGCTCAAGGTCCCAAGGACCCTTGCTCCTCCCTTATTGATACAATACCACTGACTTACATATCTTTACCCATTGAGGTGAAAGATGTAGTAAGGAATTTCAAACTGTTTGTCGCGTCTTAGCAAAGCTCATTTTACCTGAATTGCAAAGAGATTAAGATTGCAAATAGACTTTAAAAATACATGCTTAGAAATGTCCCTCTAAGTTAACAAATATTTAAATATTTCTACATTTTACTGAACATAATCTGAGGAAAGCTATTTTCCTTAACATATGATCTAGCTAGTTACCTAAGGTTTTCCCCAGGGAATCACATGTGTCAGGAAGTCTAGAATCAGGAAAGCCATGTTGGTGTGTCTTAAGAAGAGGGTAGTGTTAGCATGCCACACTGGTGATGCCTATGTGGAATCAGTGGGTGTCAGATTTGAGCAGAAGCAAAAAGCAAAATTAGGTGATAAAGCCCAGGTAAACATGCTATCAATAGTGCACTTGTGATTAGCACATTGTATGCCAGGGTGACCCCTGTGTAGCAGTTCCAGACGTTCTCCCAGCTATGTAAATTATCACCTGTCATTCAATAGGAGTGGATTCAGAGAGCGCTGATGACAGTTTGCTCTCTTTGTTGGCCACATTCCACATCTGGAAGTCTTTGGAAACATGCTCTCATCTGGA